CCTTATCAGAGAAAGAAAAAAAATCGTCGTTAAATAGACAACATAAATATCGAAATATCATACAAATATTTTTGCGTGTGTTTTTTCTTCTTCTTTTCGTTTTTTAGAATATTAATCAATCACGTCGACAAAAAGTTCATTAGATTAAAAGTACATAGGTGAGAATTCATTAGATAACGTGTAAAACATGAATGTTCTGGTTTCTTTTGTTTTTTTTTTTTTTTTTTTTTCTTACCAACTGTTTGATCGACACGCCAGTAGCGATCTTTTCCTTCGTGCACCGATCCTGCTCGTTTCGAGTCGCCTCCGATACATAATTCTTTGTCTGCATGCACAAAATACAACGCACAGGGTACAAAAGCTAATTCACATGCGTACGGATACGGTGACATATAAATTCTACTTTGGGCATCACTTTTGTAACGGAGAAACATCTACTACTTTTCACGTGGTATCGTCGCTCGCTTCGTTATATATTTATACATTCTCTATGCATGCAGGATGTTCGTTTAACGAATAAATTATTCGATGATTCGTTTCAGGAATTCTAGCGAGTTCGCTAATCTTAGGGACCGCGAAGAAACGGTATACTTTTACTATACCTTGTAAACTAACGGTCTAGAAATTTGTACAATTACACTTAATACAGGTTCGTTTCACTGTGTATGCTAATATATACACCATCACTGAAAATCAAAGGCCATATTAGATCCGTTCAACCCTTTGCCTCGTTTTATTAACAGCTACATATTATACAATTGATTCGACCGTTTAGAGTGTGAGATGCTTCGAGATATCGTGCGTATTCCTTGGAAAATGGAATTAGAGAAGTAACGTTCGCCGTTTGGGAAATGAAAATTCGTACGAAATTTACCTTCGGCGAATAAATCTTGAATATTTCATTCGTGAAGGATCAGACTCTTAACCCCTTGCCTTAGAAGAACGAATAGCGGCACAGATTTTGATTGAGATGCGACACACACGGTAACAAAAATGAATTAAAATCCTAACTTTCGTGTCAATTTGCAAAACTGAAAATTGCCCTGTGAAATTAATTTGCGATAGTACTAAAACTATGATATGACGGACACAGTTGTACTACTTCAATTCTAACCTCTAATTAATCTACGACACAGCGCTAAAACAGTCGACACAGATGCACAGTCAGCGAAAAAAAGGAAATCATAAGTCAAGGGGTTAACAGGACGCTCGAAACACAATTTTCCCAGGATGCACTGTCGGTGCACTGAAAAATTCCGAGTTCCTCGCCACACGCGTGGTCCCAGGCGACAAAATCCGAATTCGCGACAAGCTTCACTCGAACGGTACCGTGATTCAGTTTTTCCGTTCGTGGACCGCGTTTCCTCGCTCAGACGATCACCGAACGAAGGAGAAAAAAAAAAGAAAGAATCAGCCGCACGCGAATCAAATTCCTTGGTTGGTGGCGCGCGCCAACGGGACACGCGAGTAAAACGCGGCGAATTTACACACGCGCCGACCGTATAAACTAACGGAGAAACGAGTCTGATGATATCACGGATAATTTACCGGAATCGTAACGATGGTAAGAGGATAGAAATTGGCAAAGAATTTGTTTGTCTGTTTCGCTCGCGTGATTGTGTGTATGTGTGCTCTTTCTCTCTCTCGTTTTCCGGACCACGAAACTTACCAGAGACTTCACGTTCACGTTCGACAGATCGTCCTCGTCCGAGAAATCGAGCGTTTCCGGTTGGGTCTGTCGGGGGCCGGGGTGCATGCTCGGCTCTCGCGAGTTACAGTTCTGGTCAAACAGACAAACACGCGCACAACTGTACCATGCAACACTGTTACGTGTGACAAGAAAAAGTTTGGAAGTTTGTGTGTTTAGTTCGCGGTATCTCGGGTTAATCCTAGAAAGACGGAGCCTCCAGGAGCTGCGCGGAGAAGACTACTCTTCGTTCAAAATAAGAATAACCTCGTTTCGCGCATGGGACGTGCCTAACGCAGGGCTAGAACGTCCAAACCCCCACTTAACCGCCTAGGTTTCTCTCCGTCTTGCCCTCCGCTACGCTCTCTGTCTATGCGCAGAACGGACGAAAATCGGTCCGAGAGCGAGGTTATTCTTATTTTGAACGAACAGTGAGAGGTCCTTGTAATGACGTTTTTGTGGGGCCAAGTCTTTCTAGGGTTAAGCGACGAAAGAAGGAAATAATTGTATCTCGAACAGTGTAGAAATACTTGATATTTTTAGGGGTGAAAGAGAAAACTTGTGTGTTCAAGTGATAAATACTGAAAGGTTGCTTCCAAACTTTTTGTCGATAGAGTATGTTACGGATTAAGGGACAAGGGTGGTTTCAGGGTGATTGGACATTTCCAGACGCCGATGTCACATTTCTTAGGCATTCCATCGTCGCGAGAACTATCGGAAATACAAACTCAAAGGCAGAAAGTTTCAACTTCCTCCCAACTTCTTCTTCTCTTTCACAGAGAAACTTTTAGTAAAA